ATTCCCGGCGATGAAAATGCTCAGGACGGTACGATCAGCTCTCAAAGGAGAGGCTCGTACAGGAAGGAGGTCATGATGCCCGCGTGGCAGTTCTTCAGCCTCATACGTAAGTTCTACCTGGTATGCGCGTTAAGGAAGTGCTGACGTGAGTAAAGCATGGTATACGGACAACACCCCGACAAATGACGCCCAAGTCGCCGCGCACTTTTCTTCGAAGCGACCAATTCTTGGCATGTGTCTCAAGCGCTATTCCATGACACCCACTGGAAAAGCAGTACGCCTCAATACATTCATCGACATTCCGACCGAGATAGGGTTGCCCCATTTCATTCAGGATGACAGTATGGAAGAAGAAGGCCCCATCTACGGAAACTTCAAGCTATCTTTGCAAGCCATGGTCTGCCATCGAGGCACCTCAGTCGATTCGGGACACTATATATCGATTGTCAGGGGTACCAGTGCTGGTGCGCCTCCAGCCAGTTCTCATGGTTCGGACCAGGAGGCAGGCCCTTCTGATGCCTCCAGATACTGGATGCGGTTTGATGACCTGGCGAAAGAGCGAGTAACACTAGTCGACATCGAACAGGCCTTGAAACACGAGTCGCCGTACCTCTTGTTCTACCAGATCTTACCTATCAATGAGGATGCTGCGGCAGCCAATCTGTTCGACAAACCGCCTTCTTCTGAGCTATCGGCGGACTCTCGAGATATGGAGAACGCCTACATGGCGCAGAAGCCACAAAATCTGTCTGTGGACGATATCAGTGGTGCTCGCGCGGAGGGGTACGCTTCAGGTCGGCCTAGTTTTGAAATCACTGGCCCCGATGGCGCAGATCCTGCCCCTATGGATCACAATAGCAGAAAGCAGAGTGTGGCGTTCTCTGAAGTTTTTGATCCGACCTCGATGCAGTCATATGCGCCGACTTCGCCGCGACTCACCCCAAGAGATGATGATGGCAGGGCCTCGTTCTCATTTTCTCGACGCAGTTCGAGGCAGACAAGGAGCAATCCAGGCAGTCGTGCAGGGAGCCAGGCTAGCGAGAGCAGAATCAGCACGACCTTCTCACGGTTTACCGGGCGACGCAGTCGAGAGAAGTTCACCAACGATGGAGTCTCTGAAGGCGAAATGGACGAGTTAACGGAGAATGAACTGGGACCGACAGAGAAGTTCAGTCCTCCAAGCGGCGAGCGCAAGGACAAAAGCCCCCGACGGACCAGGGAATCCGAGCGAGTCAGAGACAAGCTGAAGGACAAATCTCGGGAGAAGATTGGACGGAAGCTCGACCGGGAGTGTGTTGTAATGTGACGACGATCCGAAGATTTGTTTCCACATGGGCTTCGCTTACCTTTCAAGTATTTGCCATGGGCCCAGGCTGCATATTATGAAGGACAAGGGGATTGATACCCGGGCATGTTGCATGTTTGTGCTTTCAGCTCAGTCTTTGTCGGTTGAGGGTTTGCATCGGCGTTCAGTAGATTGCATAGCGACCTAATAGAGTAGTGATAGTTTGCAAGCATGCTTATGATGATGATACAACTATTACAAAATTTCGAGGGTTTCATTTCTTTTCAAATGGTCAGATATGTGGTTAACAGTATATACATCGAATACTATGCAAGCGGCATCTGGTATAGAGCGTGTCTGCCTCAGGCATATGTGCCAAGGTATCAATAGCTCCGCTTCGGGCGAGCTCCCCCCATCTTCATCATCGTCCATCTCCAGCTCGCCTGGCTGCTATACCTCGTCCGGGCAGCTCCACTCAAGCTTATTGTGCGGTCGAGCAATGAAATAGGACCATTATTTACAATTGGCGCATCATGGCGCTGGAGACGTCCAGCGGTTATGTTGCTCCCAGCAACCTCACCGAGCCTGCGGACGCCGGTCTGTCCATGTTCGATGTCCGACATGTGCAGTTGCAGTTTCCACTGGCTGCGGACTTTGTCGCAGCGCAGGTCGCTAATAATGTTTTGATTCTGGCTTTGTCGACGGGGCGCATTCTCCGAATAGATCTTGATACCCCGGAGGACATTGATGGTTCGTGACCTTCTGACGGAGATCCCGGAGGGTTAACTACACTTTCGGTGCCATGCTGACTCCCTTTTCTTAGATATCGACCTTCCCAAAAAGTCATCGGAGATAGGCGTTATACGTCGCATGTTCCTAGATCCTTCCGCGTCCCATCTGATCATCACTACTACCCTTGGCGAGAATTACTACCTCCATACCCAATCCCGACAGCCTAAGCCACTGTCGCGACTGAAAGGTGTTCCGATAGAAAGTGTCGCATGGAACCCATCTTTGCCTACGGCCTCGACAAGAGAGATACTGTTGGGCACGACGGATGGCCAGATATGGGAGGCTTACATTGAACCATCTACCGAATTCTACCGCCGTGAAGAGAGATATGCGCAGGCCATCTACAAGACACCGGAAGGATCGCCTGTCACAGGGATCTGGGCGGAGATAATACCTACGAAGCCCGAGTTCAGACGGGTGCTAATAACGACCCATGGCAAGTTGCTGTGTTTTTCAGGACGTACGGGAAGGTACGGGAGAGAAGGTGGAAGCCTCGTCTACGCTGATCTATTCCAACGCGAGGCGCCTGTAAGCCATGAGATTCAGAAGCCTTCTAGCGCGGCACCATCGGCACTGGCTATCTCGCCTATTGTTCCAGAAGGCCAGAGTGCGACTGGCCAGCCGGAGAATGAATTCGCATGGCTCAGTTCGCAGGGTATCTATCATGGGCAACTTCCATATGCGCCGCAGAAACTCCCTCAGCCATTTGAAAGCTCAACCATGCTGCCGCGGTCTTTGTTCCCGGCCAGTGAATCTGCGCGCGGAGGCAAGAAGCTTATACAAGATCCAATAACTGCCATGACGTTGTCCCAGTGGCACATTCTGGCCCTTGTCGAAGGCAGAATTGTTGCTGTGAACCGTATGAATGATGAGATTGTCTACGATGAAGCAGTTTTGGAACCGGGACAGAGTGCTTTGGGCCTCTTGACGGATGCGATGCAGCACACTTACTGGCTGTTTACCAGCCAAGAAATCTTCGAAATCGCAGTCGAGGACGAGGATAGAGACGTTTGGAAGGTATTCCTGCAGAAGGAGATGTTTGACGAAGCTTTGCAGTATGCCCGTACTACAGCACAAAAGGATGCTGTTTCCACCGCCTCAGGAGACTTCCTCGCCAGTAAGGGCCGTTATCTGGAGGCGGCCAAAGTTTGGGGCAAGAGCAGCAAAGGCTTCGAAGAGGTCTGTCTGACTCTGATCAACCGGGGCGAGCATGATGCGCTGCGGAAGTACCTTCTCGGCCAGCTTTCTACGTACAAGAAGTCCTCGTCGATGCAACGGATCATGGTTGCCAGCTGGCTTGTCGAAGTATTCATGACGAAGTTGAACTCGCTTGATGATAACATCGCCACCAAAGCAGAATTGGCGGAGGGAACGAGCACGGAAGAAGTCAAGGACGAACTTGGCAGTGTCCGGGCTGAGTTCCAAGAGTTCGTCACCAAATATCGGTCCGACTTGGACAAGAAGACTGCGTATGATCTCATCAGTAGCCACGGGCGAGAGGAGGAGTTGCTTTTCTTTGCCACGGCGGTCAATGACCACAATTATGTGCTGTCCTACTGGATTCAGAGGGAGAAATGGTCAGAGGCGCTCAATGTTCTGCAACGACAGAGTGAACCCGATGTGTTTTACAAGTATAGCAGTGTTCTCATGACGCATGCCGCTGCTGGACTAGTCGACATCTTGATGCGGCAGACCAACCTTGAGCCGGAGAAGCTGATCCCTGCACTATTGAACTACAACAAGACGGTAAATGTTCCCCTGGGACAGAACCAGGCGGTGCGATACCTGAACTTCATCATTGTCAACCATCCGAAGCCATCCGCGGCGGTGCACAACACCCTGATATCGATCCACGCCTCGAGTCCCTCGTCCTCGGAAGCCGGACTCCTCACCTACCTGCAGTCACAGTCGTCATCTCCGCCACCGTACGATGCAGACTTTGCTCTGCGTCTTTGTATCCAACACCAGCGCGTGCAATCGTGCGTCCACATTTACAGCGCCATGGGACAGTATCTCCAGGCGGTGGAGCTGGCTCTGCAGCATGAAGATATCGAACTGGCAGCGATTGTAGCGGACCGACCGGAGGGCAACGACAAGCTCCGGAAGAAGCTCTGGCTTCTTGTAGCAGAGAAGAAGATCCGCCAGCCTGGGACGGGCATCAAGGACGCGATCGAGTTCCTTCGCCGATGCGAATTGCTCCGCATTGAGGATCTGATCCCGTTCTTTCCGGACTTTGTCGTTATTGACGACTTTAAGGACGAGATTTGCAGTGCACTCGAGGATTACTCGCGGCATATCGATGCATTGCGACAAGAAATGGATAACTCGGCGCACACAGCGCGTCAGATCCGGACGGAGATTGCAGCGCTGGACACGCGATATGCAATTGTCGAACCCGGAGAGAAGTGCTGGCTGTGCTCCTTGCCCGTGCTCAGCCGGCAATTTTTCGTCTTCCCGTGCCAGCATGCCTTCCACAGCGACTGCCTAGGCAAGGAGGTGCTCGACGGGGCCGGTGGCAAGAAGAAATATATCCGCGACCTACAAGCGCAGCTAAACAAGGGGACATTGGGAGCGGCACGACGAGAAGAGATTGTGCGGGAGCTAGATGGGCTGATTGCAGAGGCCTGGTAAGAGTGCTCCATTCTATTTTCTGTATAATCATTACTAACACCACCGACCACAGCGTCCTCTGCGGCGATCATGCCATCAAGCAGATCGACAAGCCATTTGTTGCGGACTTGAACGGGCCCGATGACTGGGCATTGTAGTTGCCTTGAGCGTGGAGAGCACGTTCCTCATCCAATGCATGCACGTCCTTTTTTTTTCTGTTTTACTCGGTAGCGTTCTTCGACCGTTAGCTACTGACTTACCTACCTACCAACCTACTTACCGTCTGTCCCTGTCGTACGATGGCGCCTTGCATTTATCAGCGTTCGAACGAATCATACCTCATGCTTTTCTATTTATTTCCCGGGTATATAAAGCTGCAATATCATTACCATGGACATAAGCAGACCACCAATAAGCGTAGCAATTACTCCCCAACCGTACTTGTTGCAGAATTAGTAGTAGTGGAAACTACTTACTACTACAGTAGCCCAGTCCGCCCTCGTGTTCTAGAGCCGAGTCGAGTCGAGTCGAGTCGAGCAGAGCAAGAAAGCAAGAAAGCAAGAAACAGCTAACCAACCAACCAACCCCACCCCCTGTCTTCAATTCGTCTCTGCAAAAGCACCGACACACGGACACACCTTGCTGATCCCCTTTTCTCCAGTGTGTGTGACTGCTCGTGTGGGTGTGGGTGTGTGTGGGTGTGTGCTTGCTTGCTCGGCGTATCGCCTGCCCAGCTAGCTGCATCCGACAGGGCTGTGCGGGTGCAGCTTGCAGCATACTCTGCATATAGTCAGCCAGTAGATGGGATGTCTGGGTGAGCTGCGACCAACTTTTCTCCACTTTTTTTTTTCTCTTTGATTCCTGCACCTGCAGTGCGTTTCGTGACGAGTTCTGTGCTGCGCTGCGCTGGTGGAGGTGGAGGTGGTCGTGCATGATGGTGGTGAGTGTTGCTGCATCCAAGCGCCGGGGAGGGAGGACCCTTGCTATTTAGTTGCTTGCTTACTTTGTTGGGTTGGATGGGAATAGAATATATTTCTGGGTTATAGGTACTAAGTAGATTAAGTAGTAGATACATTAGTTGTTTTGGATAATAGTAAATATTATGAGTAGCAAGTATATCTATTTAGAAACAGAAAGATTAGTAGAATATATATTAAGAAATGATACTACTAGTACTTGGCGAAGAAATCCATAAGTAATAAGTAGCATAGCATAGCATATTGCATATAATAACCCCAGTAGTACTATTTGTATTTATACACTGGTAAGTAAGTAGTAGGTAGGTAGCACTACATCAATATGCTTACTTGTAGTTATGCACAGGTACATAGTAGTATACCTACCACCACCTACATCACCACATACATATCCAAGTAGTAGTACTCTGTAGTAGTAGTAAAACCATGGACTACATACATACATATGCTTATGTTGTGTTCCGTGATAGTACATATGATCCATCTGTAGTATGTACGATAACTCACATACATACATACATACGTACTACATACGGTGCATGTCTTGCTCTACTCATCCTGTCTGGTCTGATCCATCTCATTGTCTGAGACAGAAACGGAAGGGATAAAGGAGGGGTGTGCAGCAAGCAAGCAGGCAAGCAAGCAAGCACCCCATACTCCATACATGATGAGTCTTGTGCCGGATTATCTTGCATGTTCATGTTCATGTTCATGTCCTTCTTTCTTGGATTGAGTGTGTGTGGTTGTGTGTGTGGGAGGTGGATTCTGGGGGTAAGATAATTGTTGAGAATGGGTGAAACAGAAACTAGAAACAAACTGGGATTTGAGTGATTAGTTAGGGTAACTAACTACCTTTCATACTGATGACTACTAGTAAATAGTTGGAGATAGTTAACTACCCCAGACATAACAGTAAGATGTTGATTATCAATTAGTTAGTTAGTTATTTATTTAGTCTTCGTGTCATTTCTTATCCAAGTAACCAACTAGAACAACTAAGTACTCTGTAACTAAGTCCTTAAAAATGAGTCCTCGGTTCTTCTCTTCCGTCTGTTTCTCAACGGCGATCCCACTCCACATCCCCATCCCCAGTTCTGCCTGCGTTTGTGTTTCTCCGTCCGGGTGAGAAGCAAGGAGTTTCGTCCAGTTTTCGTCCTTCCTTCCTCCCCGAACTTTATCCCGAGTTGCAGTAAGTAGGTAGGTAGGTAGGTCTTGAATCTGGGGAAATCCCATACATACATACATTCCATACCATTCCAGTTTCAGACGGTTCTTTCTTTTTAATCTGTAACTACCTAATTACTATCTTACTAGTACTCTAGTAAATAGTCAAACAATAACTAAAATCCACCTTAAGAATAGGTAATATCCATCCAATCCCAATCCCCCTCTAACCGCGGAACAACCACCTTAAATCCCTATTAGTGGGATGTTAATTGCTTTTTTTCCTGTTGGATGAATGAATGGATATGAACGGCAACTGATAGCGATGTGACAGAAAAAGTATAATTAAGTGGCTGGCTCTAGTTAATAGATAGTAAGTGGTAGTAGTAGTGGTAGTCTGATTGCGAATTGGACTTGTCCTGTGGCCCTTTTGTGTTGATCGTGCGGGGTAAAGGTGCCACTACGTAGTTAGGTTGAACTATCTGTTTATCCGTTTATTTATCTATCTGGGAAGGCTGGGATAGGTTGGTGGCGATGATCGAATCATTTCCGTATGGGGGTGATGATGCTCTTTTGTGTCGCGTGCTCATTCATGGATTATGCTGTGTTCATTGCTGGTTGGGGTTGGGATTGGGATTGGGATTGGGGTAATTGGGGTTTGATGATGGCGATGGGGGTTAAAGGATGGTGATTTGATTGATCGGATGCCAGTGGGTTATCTGCCGATAGTGAGTGATACGGGGTAAAGTATTTACTTGGTACTCCGTACGGAGTACTACTGACGGATATATGGATATATGGATGTATACTATGGATCTTGTAATCTATTTGGTGGAGATGAGATATGTCCGTTTGGGAGTGATTGGTCTCATCATAGTTACTTCGAGTTGCCCATGGTTGTTTTGTTTGAGATTGTGTCTGTATCTGTAGCTGGCTGTATACTACTGTAGTAACTAACTAATCTAAAGCATAGTGATAGAGATAGATAACTGTTCTGCAAATGTCGAGACCATCACCTCCAATGGTGCAACATCTCCATCCCAAATCCTGGTACTAGATAACCTTTTCCAACCTTCTTCTGCCTCCTAACTGGCTCCTTATCCCAGGTTCCACCGATACACCACACCCGCCCAGAACAAGCGACGATAGGGTGTTCCAGCCATACAGCACCGCCCCGTGTTCCATTCGGCAGATAATCATCCCGATAAGGGGGATAAGAAGAAGCAGACAGTATCTAAGGTTCAGCACCCGGGGTTTCCATGAACCTAGTCATTGTTGAGACGGAAGTTTGGCAAGTTCCAGGCAGTCAGGATTGTCCAGTTCATCCACTGGGTCACGCTATCCCGGTTCCATGGGAGAGATGAATGTTAGCGGGAAACCTTGAGGATGGCGTGAGAGATTGGCAGAGACAGAGAGAGAGAGAGAGATAGCCAGGTGACCTGGGTCACCTGAGAGGCTAAAAGTAAATACTTTGTACAGTAAGTATGGGCCTGAGACTGGGGCTGGGCTGGGATTTGGTCATTCGGATTCCTGGGGCAGAGATGGAACCAGATGGAATCTCATGGAAGATTTAAACTATTGCTCTCATACGAAGAGTGTGTCAGCCACCATCAGAGATCCAAAGGAACCGAGAAGGATGGTGGATGATGGATGATGAGGTGGTGGTGATGATGGTGGTGGTGTGGTGGTAAGGCCAGGCAGCTTGCTTGGGGGGCCGCTGCTTATCGCGTGATGCGTGCAAAAACAGCCACCTGGCAGAATGAATAGCGGGAAACCTAATGGGAAGGAATTCCTTAGTCAGAAGGGAAACCCGTCCATCCACGTATGCCTGAGGTCTGATTTTTGTTGTACTCCGGCCTCCGTACTCTTTCTTTCAGGGTGACCACCTCATCATTGTCCCTTGGCTGCCTCCTGCTAGCTGCCCATCGGCGTGTCGGAGACAGGCAAGCCTGCATAATCGAGACACGCAACTCTTTGCCAGCTGCAAGGACGAAACCTTCCCGACACTCGCTCGGGAGGCGGTCAGCCAGGCACTAATGCACCTTGGTCCTTCACCGCCAGCATCGCTACTTTGTTGCTCATGCAGCCTCCGGAAATATACTTGCCAGCCACGGGGCGCTGCCAGTGCTTTTTGTGTTGGCTGTTATGGAGTTAAGAGTCATGTTATGTTTATTGGTTTGATTATAGTTATGTGTTCATTTATTTTGACTTTTGTATTTTCTTTTACTCAATTTCATCATTTAGTCTCCGACCATGTACCTCCGTTTTATGTATGTAGGAAGAGGGATATTTCCATCCAGTCACCTCGTTCCAGTTGTACACAACCTTATCCACTACTTACTACTTACTACTACATAGTAAGTAATAGTAATAGTAAAAGTACCATAACGGAGGATAATAATTATCATCTTGCCGACAGTACAACCCGAAACGAACCATTAGCAAATTAGCATACTCTGCTACATACCTCCTGGAGTCCTGTCATATGTTCACTCCATATACTCCATACTTTCAAAGCCGAGAAGAGGAAAAACAAATAACCAAAGTCTCCACTCCGATCGATAGTACGATACGATTGCCAGATCAAAAGTTGGCCCAGGAGTCTGTCTGTCTATCTGTCTGTCTGAGACGTAATCTCCCTGCCTTCCCGTTTTAACCCCGCAAATCCTGTTACAGATGATGGGCCGAGTTGAAGGAAATCCCGCGCGGTAAACAGGATCAACGTGGATCACGCAGGTTTTGTGCAACATCAATAGACGTTGTTGATTGATTGATTGATTCAACACGGTCTGGTTTCCCTGGGTTATCTGGCTGGCCTGGACCGAACCACACACACCAACCCTCTCTTTCTCTCTCCTAGTTGTGACTTGACTGACTCAATTGTCTTTTTTTTCTTACTTTGAACCTTAGGTACTAATCCTTTGGGGAGAAAAAGGTACCTGATGCGGTGCTGAACTTTTAGGTACTTACCCTGACTCAGATTGTTAATGTTAGGTACTTACTCTGTTGGTTTACTACCTCGTCGGGTAGATATGACTTTTTACTTTCTTACATACTTTTTTCTCCGCATGGGCAAGTCAGAAAAATAGAGGAAATTATCCAGTCATATCATTATCTCTCGTATGATCGGTGATACCTGAGTATCGTCAGTACTACTTAGTAACTAGTAGCATCGTCTACTGCCACCTCTCGGAACCTAGGCTTTAGTCTCCTCTGATGATCGGCGCGCAGCAATATCCGTATCTACCGACAACAGCTTCTTCCCCATACTACTCCCTACTAGTCCACTGTGTCACAAGTTAGTAACTCAACGAATAGTCCGGGATCATCCTCCCGGGCCTTTTTTCAGAACAGCCGACCCAAACGAATGGTCAATTATTGGCCACGACTTCGCGCCAGTCGTTGCTTGCTTGGGGCTGGCGTCATGCAGCCTGGAAATAGTGGCCACTGGGGCATTCTGTCTGATTGGGTCCTGAGGGATCCACTGTAGCATCACTCAGACTGTTGTGGCCGCCCGCCAGGCCAACTCCAGGCACCCCCCGGATAGGGACTAGACCAGTTACTCCAGAATAGGTATGGATCCGTATTTGTTACTTTACTTAACTTACTCACTTAGTAATCATGTCGGGCGCAACTCTTGATTGGATTTGTTCCCGCTGCCGGCCGAGGGCGGGAGAGTCAGTGGATGAACTTGGAAATGATTAGTATGCTCTGAAAATGGAAACAAGATAGCGATACGTAGTCTAGGTGCAATCATCGCGTGTTCAAGTGTGTGTCTTGTCTCCATCGTCACCGGTTCCTCTGGTGGGGTGGTCTCTTTCCCCCCCCCGTTTACTGTTAGATGGTGGATGGATGGGTTTAGGATCGATCTGATCTGGTCTGGTTGGGGACAGAAGAGGGGAAATGAGAGCGGGCCATTCGGTGATCATTACCTTAGCTCTGGGGGGATGATG